AGAAAATAAGATGGATCTTCTGGGTCAAGATAAAGACAGGGACACCACTTACCTGTTGCCATCATGAGCAAAACAGACTTATGGAAGATTAATTTGTTGCTAGATAAAGTAGGTTGGATAGTGAGAAACAGAAACAAAATTTAAACAATGCCTTTAATCTTCTTAAATGCCAGAAAATCCTGTGGTGTCTAATATCTTCCAGTAAAGGAACCTGATCTTCCTCAGTTTGTTGATAAAGGTTTTGCTCTCAGATTGGTCCATTCCCTATCAAAACTTAATGCAAAATCAAGGAAAAAAGAGCTATTTCTTTAGAACCCATATTTCTAAAGGCTTAAAAAGTACTGAAGTGCAGAAAAAAAAAAAAGAAATGAGACCTTGCCAAGGGGTGGTTCCCTAAGTAAGCAGCCTTTCAATTCCACACTGTGGAATGTTGTCTTTCTTAGTCTTCCTATCTACATGGGTGGAAAGGAGACTTAGACAGTGACTGATCCCAAGAGCAAACCACCTGCTATTGTTGTCCCACAACTGAAGTGGTTTCTTCGTATGCCTCCTCTTTGAACACAGGTTCCCTGCTTCAGATTGGCTGGATTTCTGTATAACACCCAGACCTGGTATGTTCTTGAATTATTATAGTTGAACTTAGTTTTATGTATCATTCATTACTGCCATCGTAGAAGATAGTTTACTGAATGATCAAATGTTTTCTGCTTTGCAAATGGCAATGTGGGTGTTCAGTGGAAGACAGGGAAACCCATTTCAAGTCTGTCTTAGTACTCCTTTAACTTTAACTATTAACTGGTTGACTGGTGTGCAGTCATTATGGCATCATATGCAACTTTTTTTAGTTAATGAATACTGTGCAAAAATAATGTTTGCAACATTAAAAACAACACACACACACAAAAAAACCCCACCAAACAAAAAAACCCTCAACAAAACCAAACAAGTGCTTTCATAAAAGTACTTTTGGAAGGTGGATAAGTTATGGAGTTTCTGATGTAATGTTTGAATTGTAATTTTGTGTATCCTATTTATTCTGGATAAACATGGATGCATATGGATAGCAGTAATCAATTTAGCAATATAACAGATATCTTTCACTGCAGCTTACTGACATGATTTGAGATATTACTGTCCCTATCTACCCTGCCTTTCATTCATGAGTACCTGTGCCTCAGCTGTTCATGGAGTTTACACTTCTGTGCTCTCTTTTTCCACCAAGGGTGTAATACATCTGTTCTTGCACTGGAGTAGCTGAGATGCAGGTGCTTGTCTGGGTCATTCATTCCTGC